AAGCACAAAAGCACAAAAGCACAAAAGCACAAAAGCACAAAAGCACAAAAGCACAAAAGCACAATACTTCTGCATGCGACCTTTTTTGCTAACGAAGTATGCAGAGCATGCCTACTTCTGCATGCGACCTGACCATTGCTTCTGTGCAAGGCAAAAGGAGGAGAGCAAAGCAAAGCAAGGAAGAGAAGATATATTAAAATGAGTACTAATATGATTTATTTTATAAGTATTCTTATGGTACTTAATCGCCAAGTTATAGTCCTTCTTAGATATACTTTTATATACCTAAAAATATACTAACATCTAACCTTTTCTAAAAAAAGTTCGCTTTTTTTTATATTAGCTATTTCCTTTATTTATCCTGTTCCAAAATGTGTAGGTTACGCATGTCGTGCCGAATGTTATAAAAAAAAAAAAAAAAAAAGCGAACTTTTCTTTTTTAGAAAGGGTTAAATTGTTATACTTAACACTACATATTATAGATCTATATTAATAATTTATATTAAATATANTTCTTCTGTTGCCTTAATCTAGGTATACACTACAGAAGAGGGGTTAAATTGTTATACTTAACACTACATATTATAGATATATATTAATAATTTATATTAAATATACATCTATAAAGTATAATCGAAACAATAAATTTAATATGATATCTCTACCCTCTTTAATTTCTGCTGTACATAATCTGTCTACTATGAAGCCCCGTCTTACTCAAAAATCGTTACAAAAACGCACACTACATAATCTATCTACTATTAGTATTAGGGGGCTTCATACTAATGGTAGATTACAAAAATCTACACTAGGTAATACATCTACTAGTGAAGATGCGCTACTTAAAAGGGTATTCAACAAGCAATATCCTATAGTACTCAAAGCTAAGGGTAACTATATATATTTAGATGATGGGCGTAAAATTTTTGATGCTAGTGGAGGTGCGGCAGTCTCCTGTTTAGGGCATAGCCAGCCTAAATTAATCAAGGCTCTAACAAAACAAAGTAAACTCGCTATATATACTAGTCCGGCAAGTTTTATAAATGAGGCGAGTGTTTTATTATGTACTAAACTTGTACTTAGTACCGATGGTTTAATGCATAAGTGTGAATTAGTGGAATCAGGTTCTACTGGTATAGAGTCAGGACTTAGAAAAACTCTTAGCTATCAGGTAAATTCAGGTAGACCATCTAGAACTCAATTTATTTCTAGAAAATCTTCATACCATGGTATAACCCAGGGTGCTTTAAGTGTCTCAGGTAATTTAGCAAGGAGGCTTCCTTACCTTAGTGCTTTGCAAAGTAGTAATGGCCACCTTGTTTCTGATTGCTACGAATACCGAGGTAGACTACTGAATGAATCTATCCCTATGTATGTCGCGAGATTAAAACAAGAATTAAGAGCCAAAATAATAGAAGTAGGGGTAGATAAAGTGGCAGGCTTTATAATAGAAACAGTAGTCGGAGCCTCGGGTGGTTGTTTGGTACCTGTACCTGGTTATTTAAAAGCTATGCAAGAAGTATGCGAAGAATTTTACATTATATTGATAAAGGATGAAGTAATGAGCGGTATGGGTAGAACAGGTAAAATACATGCTTGACAGCATGAAATGGTTTGTCCCGATATTTCTATATCGGCTAAAGGATTAGGTGCTGGCCACGCGAGTATTGGTGCGGTTATGATTAACAAGAAAGTTTACGATAAGTTACTAATACAAGGTTCTATGCAAGGATCTCAAACATTCCACGGATTAGCTAATAGCTCTGCTGTAGGAGTAGCTGTTTTAAATACGTTTGAAAGCCTTGATTTAATGGATAAAGTTCAAAGAAACGGTATATATCTTAAAAAGGCTTTAATGTCTAAGTTAGGTAGCCACCCTAATGTGGGTAATATAAACGGTATCGGGCACTTTTATGGTATAGATTTGGTTAAAAACCGCTTAAGCAAAGAACCCTTTAGCCGGGATCTTAAAGTAAGTGAAGGTCTAGTTAATTTAAGTCTTTCTAAATATAATATGCAAATATACGGTGGTTCTGGTTTTGTTGACGGTATAAGAGGAGACCATATAATGATTGCTCCTTCCTTTCTATGTAGCAAAAAAGACTTAAATCATATAGTCGATACTTTAACGCGTTTGATTAATGAATACTTTAAAGACAAATAAATATATGGTGGCTTGCCTTTCGTCTTATTATATGGTACAAGCAGCAAAAATAATTGGTACAGGTTTAGCTACAACCGGTTTAATTGGTGCAGGTGTTGGTATATACCTAAAAATATACTAACATCTAACCTTTTCTAAAAAAAGTTCGCTTTTTTTATATTAGCTATATGGTTTAATATAAAATTCTTCTGTTGCCTTAATCTAGGTATACACTACAGAAGAGGGGTTAAATTGTTATACTTAACACTACATATTATAGATATATATTAATAATTTATATTAAATATATATCTATAAAGTATAATCGAAATAAATAAATTTAATATGATATATCTACCCTCTTTAATTTCTGTTTTAGAAGTTTTAATTGTAACAGTACCAGTCCTTATGACAGTAGCTTTTATTACCTTAGCGGAAAGAAAAACCATGGCGAGTATGCAAAGAAGATTAGGTCCAAACATAGTAGGTTACTATGGTATTTTACAAGCATTTGCGGATGCCTTGAAACTATTGTTAAAGGAATATGTATCACCCACACAGGCTAATTTAGTCTTATTTTTCTTAGGGCCAATTATAACCTTAATTTTCTCATTATTAGGTTACCTTGTTATACCTTTTGCACCTGGTTTATCTTTAAATGATTTAAACTTAGGTATACTATACATGTTAGCCGTATCATCTCTGGCTACATATGGAATTCTATTAGCAGGTTGAAGTGCAAATAGTAAGTATGCTTTTTTAGGTTCACTTAGAAGTACTGCACAACTAATTAGTTATGAATTAATCTTAAGTTCTGCTATCTTATTAGTTGTAATGCTGACAGGAAGCTTGAGTTTAACGGTTAATATAGAAGCTCAGAGAGTTATATGATTTATTATACCTTTATTCCCTATATAGACAGGAAGCTTGAGTTTAACGGTTAATATAGAAGCTCAGAGAGTTATATGATTTATTATACCTTTATTCCCTATATATAAAAAAAAATCCCTTTTTTTTTTACTAGTGCTTCTACTTAGGTAGTATGGTAGTGCTTCTCCTTAGGAAGTGCTTCTTACTAAGTATGGCAGTGCTTTGCAATAAGTTGNCTATCTTATTAGTTGTAATGCTGACAGGAAGCTTGAGTTTAACGGTTAATATAGAAGCTCAGAGAGTTATATGATTTATTATACCTTTATTCCCTATATATAAAAAAAAATCCCTTTTTTTTTACTAGTGCTTCTACTTAGGTAGTATGGTAGTGCTTCTCCTTAGGAAGTGCTTCTTACTAAGTATGGCAGTGCTTTGCAATAAGTTGAGCAAAATAATTTATCTTTTTTTTTTTACCATATATATTCGTCAAATTTTTAAATTACGGCTTATTAGTCAAAAAGTACGGTATTTTTTTTTAAAGAATTAGCTTAAGGTAAAGCCAATTTGACTTAATAATTNTTTTTTTTTTTACCATATATATTCGTCAAATTTTTAAATTACGGCTTATTAGTCAAAAAGTACGGTATTTTTTTTTAAAGAATTAGCTTAAGGTAAAGCCAATTTGACTTAATAATTCTTAAGCCAAATCCAAATAAAAGTTCGAATCTTTTATTCTTTAGCTATTGAGCCTTTTCTATTTAAAATTGTTTAGGTTAATTCTACTTACTATCTTATGCCATACTAAAGAAGGTGCCTTCTTTGCTTTACTTTACTTTCAGCGAAGCAGTAGTATGGTATGGTATGGTATGTATGCGACCTTCTGTGCTTTGCTTCTGTGCAAGGCAAAAGAAGTGACCTGACCATTGCTTCTGTGCAAGGCAAAAGGAGGAGAGCTCCTTCCTACTTTGGTCAGGTCCCATACTTCCATACTCCCTTACTGGGCTCACAATTTCAGAGCCCCTTACTAACGAAGTATGTGACCATTGCTTCTGTGCAAGGCAAAAGGAGAGCCCTCCCCTCCCAGTAAGCGACTGGACTGTAAGAAGAAGAAGTATGTCTTCCTTGACACAAGCAAGCACCCAGAAGCAAAAGTAGGCATGTTATCCCTCCTGAGGCCAAAGTATAGTAAGTCAGTGATAAATGTACCTTGATTTAAATAAAAATATTTATATACATTTCTTCGAAGGCATGTTAAATCTAATACTTTTAAATCTTTTTAACCAATGTGATTCGCCCAGCCCTTGGGGGATTTATTTCCAGGATAGTGCTACACCTCAAATGGAAGGATTAGTCGAATTACACGATAATATAATGTTTTATTTAGTTATAGTATTATTCGCAGTAGGTTGAATAATGTTATCTATAGTTCTAAATTATAGTAACGTTAAATCACCTATATCAAATAAATATCTAAATCATGGTAAAAATGTGCCTACTCGAAAGTGTTCTAAGTTTAATCATAACCCCCTAAATTATAAAGTATCTACCTCTTTACGGTACTATTCTACTTCACCTCTATGTAATAAGGCTTGCGCTGAGAATAATGACAATAACCCAGCTAAATTTTATATAGATGTTTATTCTATGAAAAAAACTATTCTAGAGGAAAACAGAGGTAAATCTGGAATTTACATGTTAACTAACAAACTCACAGGTGATATATACGTAGGACAATCTATTGATATATCCAAAAGATTTAAAAATTACTTTAATATTAGCTATTTAAATAGTAAGTCATCGTATATAATAAGTAGAGTATTAATTAAATATGGCTACTTTAATTTTTCACTTACTATCTTAGAATATTGTAATATATATGATTTATCTATAAGAGAGCAATATTACTTTGATAAATTAGAACCACAATACAATATATTAAAAACAGCAGGTAGCTCTCTAGGTTTTAATCATTCAGATGTAACTAAAGCCAAAATTAGTCAGAGTTTAAAAGGAAAATATATTGGGGATAAATCTGCCTTATTTGGTAGCTTACATAAAGAAGAAACCCAGAAATTAATGAGTTTAAAAAAAGCTGGTGAAAAGAATAACATGTATGAAAAAATTCATAGTGAAAAAACTCAAGAGCTAATGAGACAAAAAGCTTTAGGTAGAAAACACTCTGATGAAACAAAATTAAAAATGAGCACAAAACACGGAAACCCCGTTAATATATATGAGAAATCTTCATTGCCAGCTTCTAGTTTTCTTTCCAAACAAAACAAGGCAGATAAATTTAATTTAATTGGTAGTTTTGTTTCAGCTAGAAGAGCTGCCAAATTTTTAGACATCAGTGGTAGTACCGTTATAAGATATATGAATTCAGGGGCAATATATAAAGAGAGATACAAATTCTCCTCTAAATAGTAGGATATGTTACCGCTAAACTTAGAAAAACTTCGAGTAAAATTCTACTATATGCTGGGAGTTCCTAAAGCCTTAGATACTATAATAAATATTATCAGTGAAAATTCTAATGGATGCCATAATGGATAATCAGCAGGGAACTAAAATAATTTTAAAATTACGAAGGCCCTTAGAGATTATACGTAGAACACTCAGAACATTAAACTGAGTGAAGATAGAATCCAATTTTATATGAAAGTATAAAAATAACCGACATTAATTGAATTAATATGAACCATTACACCTGCTTTAATATTAATCTTAATCGCTTTCCCTTCCTTTAAATTACTATATTTAATGGATGAGGTGAGTGATCCTGCAATGTCCGTGTTAGCTGAAGGTCACCAATGATACTGGAGTGCGCCCTTTAATTGCATGAATCGCAGCGAAAAACTCGCTATCCCTGTAGAAATGGGATATAAAGGAATAGGCTTATCCGACGCTGAAAAGCTAGGGGAGTGTAGCATGCCTATAACGATACTCTGAGAAAATTCTATTTACTTCGAGAACGAGTATCTACCTAAATCTGTCATGGTTTGTTTATATACATTTATCTGAGTTAGCATTGCTCTAGTCTCCTTCAATAGGGCTGTGGTTAGGTTTAGAAACCTTACTACTGGAGACTATCTGGTTATATTTACTAAAGTTCAGTTGATAAATATATCTACAACTAGAAGAATACTACAACTGGTAGGACAGAATGTAAAACCTAAAACAGAAGAAAGCGGATCATGTAGGAACTGGGGATTCCCTAAGGGAAGTAATTCCTATCTCTTTTACAGAAATGAAGGAGGATGTAATAACATCGGGAACGGAGGTTTCGTAGTAATGAGCAATCATGAAGGGAACCAGTTGTCTAACTTTTGTTTACTTCCGGCCGGTAGAAGATTCTATTCGCTGGATAATAAACAAAAAATGAAGCCTGAGATAAAACAGGATCTTGAAATATCATACAAACAATTATTTGAACTTGATCTTTATAAAAGTGCTTACCAGTCTCTAAAATCTAAACCTGGAAATATGACTCCGGGAACTGACAAAGAAACACTGGATGGAATATCAATCCAATGAGCAGAAGAAGTAATCAAATCAATGAAAGATAGAACCTTCCAGTTTAAACCGTCTGAAAGAGTATACATTCCTAAAAAGAATGGTAAACTCAGACCACTGGGAATACCCTCACCTAGAGACAAAGTCATACAAGAAGCAATCAGAATGATGTTTCAATCTATATATGAACCCCTATTTCTTCATAGTTCCCACGGATTTAGACCGAAAAGATCAACAACTACTGCTGTCTTTGAAGTCAGAAAATGAAATGGAGTAACTTGAATAATTGAGGGAGATATAAAAGGATTTTTCGATAATATCGACCATCAAATCCTAGCAGAACTACTAATGAAGAAAATAAAAGATAAGAACCTTATCGATTTATACTGAAAACTAGTAAAAGCTGGATATGTTAATGATGGAAAATTCACTAAATCTCACCTGGGGGTGCCTCAAGGAGGGGTACTATCTCCTCTACTATCAAATATCTATTTACATGAATTTGACCTATATATGAAAGAACTAATGGAAAAATACTCTGACTCGAATAGAGTATCCAAAGGTAACCCTGAATATACAAAATTAAGAAGGGATATAAAAAAATTAGCCAATCTAGAAGAAATTAACGAACAAGAGAGAAATACTCTTGTGGAATTAGCTGATAGACTAAGAAAAACCCCTTCTGTAATTAGAACTAAAGATACAGGAACAAGAGTATACTATAATAGATACGCTGATGACTGACTGATAGGAATTACAGGAGACTTGGAATTAGCCAAAAAAATCAAAGATGAAGTTAATAACTTCTTAAGAGATGTACTAAAAGTAGAACTTAGTCAAGAGAAAACCAAAATTACTCACGTAACTCAAGACAAAGTAAACTACCTTGGTTTCCAAATATCCAGAAGATCTAGAGTATATACTGAATCACAAATATCAACTGTTGAATCAACAGGAATTACTAGAAGACCATCAAACGCATCTGTCATTATCGAAGCTCCTATCGAAAAACTTATCCTTAAGTTAATAGAACAAGGATATGCATGAGAAAAAGACAGAATGCCTAAGGCCATGACCAAATGAATCTTCCTAAATCCTGAAGACATTATCAGAAGATACAACTGAGTCATTAGAGGAATACTAGAATATTACAAATCAGTTGAGAATAGGAACCAACTAGGGGCAATCCTGTGAACATTAAAGTTCTCAGCGGTAAACACTCTAGCTAGAAAGTTAAATCTATCTCCTAAACAAATCTGAAAAAAATACGGTAATCCAATAAAAATCAAGTTCATGACAGGAAAAACAGAAAAGAGCATAACCCTATTTTCACCCGAAACTCTGAAAAGAGAAAGAACTTTCAGACTACAAGACTATTTCAACTTTGATCCTTTTAATGTTACAATGTACACATTGAGATCTAATCATGTTTGAGATATGGATTGTATAATCTGTGGAGAAAAAGACTATGTGGAAATGCACCATGTAAAACACATAAGAAAAGGTGAAATTAAAGGTTTTACTAAAATAATGCAAATCCTAAATAGAAAGCAAATCCCTGTTTGTAGAGATTGTCATATGAAAATTCATAGAGGTAATTATGATGGAATATCCCTAAGCAAATTAGCCGGACTAAATAAATCATAATTACCCACCATTAGTTTAGACAAGGGAGAGCCGTATGCAGTGAAAATTGCACGTACGGTTCGGAGGGAGGCTGATCGTTGCCGGTCGTCACTTAACGACGATCACGGTGCGGGTAGTCGACCCTACGTTACCAATATCCGGATTTTTTAAATGCAGACGAAGAATTTATAGAATTTGATTCATATTTAGTACCGGAATCTGATTTAGAAGATGGGGCCTTAAGAATGTTAGAAGTGGATAATAGGGTAATTATCCCTGAATTAACACACGTAAGATTTATTGTAACTGCGGCGGATGTTATACATTCTTTTGCTTGCCCTGCTTTAGGTATTAAATGTGATGCCTATCCGGGAAGATTAAACCAAGTATCTGTACTTATAAATCGTGAAGGAGTTTTTTACGGTCTTTAACATTGGCCGAAACTGTAGTGAACCTATGGTTATAAATCATCAAATTGCGGGAAAACCCTAAAGAAATCTTAACCAAGTAAGTATGGTAACATAACTTATGGCACAGGTAATGACTCGTGGTACGGTAAAATCCAGATTTATTATTCAATGGGCAATCCGCAGCCAAGTACCAAATATTTTATATTTGGTATGCAGTTCATCGACTAAACGGTGGTTGGTATTATTAGTAATAATAATGCTTAAGATATAGTCAGCCCCACCTGAAAAGGTGCAGAAAAATAAAAAAAAAAGCTTTTTTTATTTTTTGTTAAATAGATATATTAATTCGTTAATAATATTTAGGGAACTCTACAATAGTTTGCTAAACTTCTTTTTTATTGTAAAAATAATTCTAAAAATAAAACATATAAAGCAACTTATCTTTCTAAAGAAATATTTTTGTAGTATTTGCAATACAGAAGTGTTTTTAATAATCACTATTTATTAAATAAACGTATAACATTAGGTTCTATTACCACTATGTCCTTAACGAGATCTTTTCATTCCGTGAAATCTTTGGTAAGTAATCCGGAGTCTTTAGCATTAGAACACATCAATAGCGATAAACCTACTACTTCATCAGTAATCCATGGATTATTATTAAACCCAAATTTGTCAGTTACTGACTTAAAACTAGAAGAACTCTTAAAAGTTAAGGCTATTGAAATGTAGCTTCCTATTTCTACTGCGGAAAGTCAAAAACTTTTAGGTGAATTAACGGGTAAATCACAATATATAGGTTTCTCTGGTGTATATATATTTATACATAAAAATACTGGTCATAAATACGTAGGTTCATCTAATTTATTAAGACGTAGAATGAATTACTATTTTAAAGGAGATTTCCCTGCTCTGCAAGCAAGCAAGCAAGCAAGCAAGCAAGCAAGCAAGCAAGCAAGCAAGCAAGCAAGCGTGAGCGGGTAAATTATTACCTTTACACAAAGAAGGATTAAAGGCTTTTAAATTAATAATATTTAAATTAGGCAGCAATAAGTTTAGTATTAATGATGCTTTAATATTAGAACAATATTATTTGTTAAACAAAGAATTTAACTTGAATACGTTAAGAATTGTTAATGCAGGATCTTCCGAAGGTGAGGTGAGGTGAGGTGACGCTATATATGTTTATGACCTGACATGTAGTACTCTTTATTATCGTGCTAAATCTAAAATTGAATTAAAAAGAGTCTTAAAAATACAGCCTGAGAGTTGTAAAAAGTTTGTGGATTCTAAATTACCATATCTTAATAAATTCTTGTTACTCATACTTCTTGCCTACTTCTGCTTCTTTGCTAACGAAGTATGCGACCATGCTTCTGTGCAAGGCAAAAGGAGGGTGGTGTCATACTTCTGCTTCGCTTTGCTTTCTTTTTTACGAACGAAGTATGTGACCATGCTTCTGTGCAAGGCAAAAGGAGAGAGCCCTCCTTTTGCCTTGCACAGAAGCAATGGTGAGGTGAGGCCAGGTCGGCTCTCATACTTCGTTAGCACAGAAAAAAAAGCATAAAGAAGAGATTTAACCATAAATAGTGATTCATTAAAAGTTAATAGAAAAAAAAAATAAGCCTATATTAGTAAAAAAAGCCAACTTATCTGGATATGACAATAAAGAATTTGAAAGCATAACGGATACCATTATATACTTTGAAACTTTAAACATCATATCTTCGAAGAGATAGAAAAACTTTAAATACTCGCTTAAAAGATGGTAAAGTATATAAAGGTTATTATTTTACTTATAAATAACCTAAAGTATTAGGTATCTCTTCATCTAAAGCGTTAGGAACGCTTTATTTCTTTTTTACTAACGAAGTATGTGACCATGCTTCTGTGCAAGGCAAAAGGAGAGAGCCGACCTCACCATTGCTTCTGTGCAAGGCAAAAGGAGGAGGAAGTACAGCACCAAAAATAAAATTGCATTATTTAATTATGTCGTTTGACATAATAAATTAATTAATAAAAAAATTATTAATTACAATAAATTACGGTAGAGATCTCTGCAATGTTCGGAGATTTGTGGTATTTTACACAGCTCTATGCCTATAGTAATAGAATCAGTATCAATTGAAAAATTTTTATCCTGATTAGAAGAACAATAATATAAATATTCAGTAGCCGCTTATGGACCGTCTTTTTTTGAGGTTAAATTCCAGGGCGGCTGCAGAGCGAAGCAGCGAAGCAGAAAATTTTAGAGTATTAATACGTTAAACTATCATTAGCTTAATGTATTAATACCACTCTTATTAGCTTAATGGTAGAGCCGAATACTTCTAATATTTAAAGTTCAAGTTCAAGTTCAAGTCTTGAATAAGAGCAGTATATTCTAATAATTAAACTCCCTTCGTTTATGGAACTGTCGTGAAGTTTTAGCCTTATAACCCAGGTTACCTATGGTTGGCTGCAAGGCAAGAGTAACCAGCAATAACCATAAATGGCTAGTATAAGTGATACCTCCTGTCTTCTAAGATATTCTATCTTAAATTAGTCCGATATATATGCTTATATTAATAAAATACCAAAGGATTGCCTCATGCCTACTTCGTAGAGGCAGGTATCATTACACTTATACATAGTTGCAATTTAAAAAGACTCGATTCAGTTTGGATTAATAATAATAAAAAAATTAAACATGATACAAGCCAGCAAAATATTTGGCATAGGTTTATCTACAACCGGTTTAATGGGTGCAGGTGTTGGTATAGGTGTAGTTTTCGTGGCATTAATTCTAGCTGGTGCATGTTTCTTTTGCTTTGCTTTGCTTCTGTGCAAGGCAAAAGAAGTGACCTGACCATTGCTTCTGTGCAAGGCAAAAGGAGGAGCGACCATTGCTTCTGTGCAAGGCAAAAGGAGAGTATGCCTACTTCTGGGAGGGCTCCTTCCTCCTCCTTTTGCCTTGCACAGAAGCAATGGTGAGGTGAGGCCAGGTCGGCTCTCTCCGAAGGTCACATACTTCGTTAGTAAAAAAAAGCATACTTCGTTAGCAAGAGAAATCCCTCGCTAAAAGGTCAGCTATTTTCATATGTAAAATCAGTATTTGCTTTTGCAAAGGCGTCACGTTTATTTTCGCTAATAATAATGATGGTTGATTTTATACAAATTTCTCCACCGAAACCTCTTGCTTTTGTAGGTAAACCTCTACAAAGGGTTTTTGGTTTTCATGGTCTGGTTACTTGTATGTTATGTACTGCTTCTGCAGCAGCCGCAAGAAAAAGAGGAGAAATATTCACGCCATTAGTAATACCACACAAAGCAGCCTTTTCAAGCCATATGGCTAATTGCTTACATAGTTTTAAATTACAGGATTTAAAATTAAAAGGGATTAAATGTGATTTGGGTATGGAACACGATATCACAAGTCTACAAGCTAATTTTTGTGGTCTTTGTGAAATGATGGCTTGTACTTATTGTGTAATATAATAAGTTATTATTTCAATACATCAGGGTATATTTTATACTTATCTTCCAGAAAGATAGATCCGGTTTAGTGTATATTTAATTATATATAAATAAACTGAAAATATACCTTCCTGCTTATAGATATATAAAAGGGAGAAGAATTATTTTAAAGCCTTTTTATAACTATATAACTTTTTTGGTCTTTAAAACATTATAATTAAATAAAAAAAAATATACAATGAATTTAACCTTAATACTTTTTTTAATCGGAATTTTAGGTTTCGTTTTAAATAGAAAAAATATAATATTAATGCTTATTTCAATTGAAATAATGCTATTAGCTATTACATTCTTAATATTGATAAGTTCACTTAGCTTTGATGATATATTAGGCCAAACATTTGCTATATACGTTATAGCAATTGCTGGTGCAGAATCAGCCATAGGTTTAGGTATTCTAGTTGCTTTTTACAGATTTAACTCTTCTCTGGTTTGACCCTGTCTATCCTATAGCAATACTATTTATACGAAAGATGTAAATAAGTTTAACTCTAATAAAACAGTAAGAAATTATTCTACAATGGCTAAAAATATCAACTATACTGCTAACCAATTCATAAATTCTACCATGAATCCCTGATTTATTACTGGACTTTTCGACGCTGAAAGTTCTTTTGTGGTTACAATTTTAAAAAACTCTAGATACAAAACAGGTTGAAATGTTCAAGCCAGGATACAAATAAAAATGCATGAGAAGGATAGAGCTTTAATCCAGTCGGTTCAGGGCTTTTTTGGTAATATAGGTTATGTATCTAAAGTTAATAATACTTCTACTGTGGAATTTAGAGTTAGTACTTTAAAAGATCTAGTTGGCGTAATTCTTCCTCATTTTGATAAATATTCATTAAAAACGCAAAAACGTTTAGATTATCTACTATTTAAAGAAATTCTTTTTCTTATGCTAAATAAAGAACATACTACTTTAGATGGTATACAAAAAATAGTTAATATTAAAGCCTCTCTAAACACAGGTTTATCTAAAGATTTAAAAGATTCATTTCCTAAATCTAATCCTACTACGCTAAAAACTATGGAAAGCTATGATACATGTGTGATACAGCAAAAAAGTAATAATTTACATCCAGAATGGTTAGCTGGATTTTGTACAGGGGAATCTAATTTCTTTATTGCTGTTCAAAAATCTAAAACTAAAAGTGGTTTATCTGTTTCATTACGGTTTTCGTCCTAAGGTGAGCTCAACACTCAAGAGATCTATTACTATTAGAGAGCTTTATTCATTTCTTTGGTGGTGGCTTTGTAATGAAATATAAACAACGTTCAGTGTGTGAATATACTATTACAAAAATTGATCTCATTATTGTAAATATAATACCTTTTTTTGATAAACATCCTATATTAGGGTCAAAGCACTTAAATTTCTTAGATTTTAAGACTGCGGCGCATATTATTAAGAATAAAGAACACTTGAATGAAGATGGGTTAGGTTTAAATCAAATTTTAGAACTAAAAAGAAGAATTACGTCCGTTTACTCGAATAAAGCTATAAATAATCACAATGTTATATACGGCACAGAGAAGCCAGATCAAAAAAGGTAGAGTAAACCTCTGCCTAGCCATATTTAGGCTATAAGTGGGTATCCTCCCATGCATAGCAAAAAAAAAGCATTATATGGCAAAACCTTCAAATTGCGGGAAAGTCTTAAAGACAAATCTACCAAGTTAATACAGTAATGTAATTAATGGAACAGGTAATGACTCGTTGTATGGTAAAAACGATTTGTATGAAGAAATTAAATAGATAATCCGCAGCCAAACACCAAACATTGCTTCGCATGAAACAAAGGGTTGGTGCGCAGTTCATCGACTAAATGTAGGTTGGTAAATAATTAATAAAATTATTTGCTTAAGATATAGTCAGGCATAACTTAATAGTTATGGGAATACCCTTGCCTGCCTAAGGAAATAAATAAATTTCTATGGTAAAGGGGGAAAAACGAAGAGGAAGTATTGCAATAGAATATAAATAATGTATTTAGCTATAATTACTTTACCTTTATTAGGATCAATAGTTTCCGGATTTTTTGGTAGAAAAGTCGGTGTTAGCGGAGCGCAATTAATTACATGTACATGTGTAATTGTTACAACTTTATTAGCCATGGTTGCCTTTTTTGAAGTAGGTTTAAATAACATACCTGTCTCAATAAACCTATTTAGATGAATAGATAGTGAATCTCTAAACGTTTCATGAGGTTTCCATTTTGATAGTTTAACTGTAGCTATGTTGATACCAGTTTTAATAGTTAGTTCTTTAGTGCATATATATTCTATAGGATATATGAGCCACGATCCTCGAGGTCGCGTCAGGGGAAAACGCGTCTATGGGGATAAATTGTCAAACTCCGGGGATATCCTAAAGGTTAAGGTACCAAGCTATAGTCGAAAGGCTGTAAGTGGCTGAAGTAATTACTCAGGTAGGGTAATAAGCCTTAATATGAGTGAAAACGAAATGGACAATCGCGGATCTAAGTCAGATTTTTTATTAAAATCTGTAAAAGAGCAAAGAGTAGACGGCAGTTGATCTATTAAGCGAGATTTAATGGATTTAAGGTGTACTCTAAGGGGTTTCGAAAGGAACGGAGGTACAAAACTCGGTTTCAACCTGCAACAAGGTTGAAACTCTTATATCAAAATCCCATCTAAACAATTCGATTTAAAAAAATTTTCTACCTATAAATCTACTATTGTAAATCCTGGAGTCTGATCTGGTTTAATAGATGGTGAGGGTTCATTTGGTATAACAGTAGACAGGAATAAAACGCGTCAATTAGGTTGACGTGCTCAATTGAAATTTCAAATTGGTCTACATACAAAAGATCTTAACTTATTATATTTATTCCAAGAATACTTGGGTGATATTGGTTCTATTCATATAGCTCGAAACCGAAATATAGTTAATTATTCTATAGATTCCATTAAAGATTTAAATAAACTTATTTTTTATTTAGAAAAATATCCATTATTAACTCAAAAAGCCGCGGATTTATTGTTATTTAAACAAGCGATAACACTTGTAAATAATAAAGCCCATCTTACTGTTGAAGGTTTAAATCAAATAGTAAATATCAAAGCATCCATGAATTTAGGTTTATCTTACATGTTAAAATCTGAGTTTACTGAATATACTCCAGTTGAAAGACCTGTAATAAATTATGATAATGTAATTATATACCCTGGTTGAATTTCAGGATTTGTTAGCGCTGAGGGTAACTTTGATGTTCGTATACCATCAACTAATAGTAAATTAGGTTATCGAGTACAATTGAGGTTTAGAATAACTCAACATAGTAGAGACATGAGATTAATGGAGAAAATAGTTGAATACTTAGGGGCAGGAAAAATATACAAATATAGTGCTGGTAAGTCTGCTCTTAGTTTAACAATAGTTGATTTTACTGATATTACCAATATAATTGTACCATTTTTCAATAAAAACCCTATAATTGGTATAAAATTCTATGATTATCTTGATTGATGTAAAATTCATAGTTTAATGCTTAATCGTTCTCATCTTACGGTTGAGGGTATAAATTCGATTAGACAGATAAAATCTGGTATGAATATAGGTAGAAGTTTTTAAGATAAATAACCATTGTTACTATCAAATACACAATAAATCAATTGCACGATAAATTTGATTTAAATGCATAATCAAAGATTCTTTAGTTATTTAAGTTTATTCACATTCATGATGATTATACTTGTAACAGCTAATAATTTTTTATTGATGTTTGTAGGATGAGAAGGTAACCATAAATGCCTTAAATGGTTAAGCATGCCTAATTATTTCAAAATTTTAATTTATATCTTATTATTCTTACTCACGTTTGCTTTAATACTTCTGTTCTTTTACCCAGCTATGCCGGGTAAAGTATTGAATATAACGCACACCAAAAGTAATGGTGTTTTTTTAACCTTTAAAAGACCCTTTTTTTCTTGCAGTGGCTTTGGGGATGTCATACTTCGTAAAGAAGACACACCCAAAGCATGCTCTTGCTCCGCACGCCATGGGTGTGTCTTCTTTACGAAGTATGACATCCCCAAAGCCACTGCACCAAATGAATTAAAATCAAATGAAAGAATAGGTCCTCATAATATAGACGTTATATCTATAATAATAGGTTCTTTATTTGGTAATACACAGTTGGAAAAAAGAAAAAAAGGAACCAGAATAGTATTTGAAATATCTAATGTTAACGTAGAATATTTAATGTGGTTACATAAAAATTTAGCCTCAAAGGGTTATTGTAGCTCTAAAAAGCCCAAATTAACCGTCAGAGTGGCTAAAAAGAATAAAGTCTTATTTAACAGTTGCTTTAAAACTTATACTTTTTCAAGTTTTAATTGATTACATGATATGTTCTACAAAGATAACATAAAGATAATTCCGCGTAATTTAGATAACTTTTTAACACCATTAGCATTAGCAGTGTGGTTTCTTAATGACTATGTCAATTTAGACAAACAGAATAAAAGTTTTTTTTTATATAAAATGAGTTTTAAAGATTTAGAATATCTATCTTGTGTTCTAAAAAAAAAATATAATTTAGATACTGCCATTTCTTGTCTTAATAATGATAGTACTATTAGTATAAAAAGTACTTCTTATAATACTTTTGTTAATAAAGTAAAACCACATTTTTTATCATCATTACATTATAGATTAAATCAAGGGGATAATAAATTAAGGATATCTAACAATACTTTGGCTTATTCTACATTTAATCCTAGCTGTAAATTAGGATTAAAAATTAGACACTATTCCATACATACTTCGTTAGTAAAAAAAAAGAAATCTCAGATGTAAAATATACGGCTAAATATAAAAAAGAATATTCTTTAAGTTTAATTCAAAAAGAAGCTCTAATAGGTATTATATTAGGAGACGGGTATTTAGAAAGAATTAAAGCTACACATAATACCAGATTACGTGTAGAACAATCTTATCCTGAAAAAGGAGAATATTTAAAGAGTTTATTTAGCCTATTAGAGCCTTTAACTGCTAGGCGAAGCTCCCCGGTTATTCTGACCAGAAACGACAAGCGAACAAATACAATAACTAAATCTATGTATTTTAGAACCTTAGCTATGCCTTGTTTAAATTATTTTTATGAATTGTTTTATGATGAAAAGATAAAGCATATTCCAAAAAGCTTGGATGAAATATTAACCGCAAGAGGGTTAGCGTACTGAATCATGGATGATGGGGGTAAATCTATATATAATCAAACTATTCTTCATACTATATCTTTTACTAAAGAAGATGTAATACTAATCCAAGGAGTGGTGCAGTGGCCATACTTTGTAAGCCAAAGCAAGAAAAAAAAACTTTGGTCTAATAACTAGATTAGAAGAAAAGAAAAAAGACCAATGGCTTATTTATATACCAGTTAAACAAGAAACCAAACTTAAAGATATTGTTGGGCCATATATGCATAAAAGTATGCAGCTTCGCTTGCTCCGCGCTCCGCACCCCAAAATTTAGTTTTAATTATATAATTAAGAGATTTATTAATGGATGTGGATAAGAAAATAAGAGAGGTTAAAATTTCAAAATAAAATTTAAGGATAACTTGCCATAGTTAATGATTAATTGTATATGTTTAAGGAATCAAAATAGTTTCTTATTTTATTGTTTATAAAAAAAATATAAAAAAAAAGAAACCGGACGGTAAAAAAGTACATTGTACTTTTATGAGCTGCTCTCCAGATGAAATAACGGATGGTTTATTTCCTAGATGGGTTATCACTGATAAGACATCCCGGTTATTACATCCGGAATAAGGGGAAGCATCCTTCCGCGAGAATAAATATATATTAAACTTTTTTTAACAGAAGTTTAAGTTAATCCTTAGCAACATCATTGAAAACGATCAACTAAATTAAGTTAATTTAAAGATCGTCGGTTATATTTTGAATCGCGATCGACTAGTACAATGGTGGGTGCCTGAGATGGTGCTTAATGCATAGTCAGAATATATATATTATATTATGCTTTAAAACAATTTATAATATACCAGGGCCTTTCGTAAAACCTCGTAGGTATTAAAGGTACAGGAAATAAAAATATAACTTTTTGTGTATAATGCTATTGTAGATAGATTAGGTGATTAATGTGTAAACCTTTCCCTATTTACCCTGCTTTTGCAGTGGCTCCTTCGGTCAGCCAAAGCACAACATATGTTTTTATTTTTATATTTGGTAGGAATTTGTTCGTATCTTCTAGTTAGTTTCTGGTTTACTAGAATTGCAGCAAATCAAAGTTCTATGTCTGCTTTCTTAACTAACAGAGTGGGTGATTGTTTTTTAACAATAGGTATGTTTGCTATACTATGATCGTTTGGTAATAAACTAAAAATGTTTAAACACGGGAATAGAATGAGATTTAATATTAATACGCATAGTTTACCTTACAAACAAATAAGAAATTATTGTTCTAATTCAAGTAGTCGTGCAAAGCACGACATGGCTTCATATTTAGCTGGGTTAATAGAGGGTGATGGTCATATAGCTGTACATGATAAAAATTCTAAATCTAAAGTCTATCGTCCTAAAATCATTATTGTTTTCAACATTCATGATAAACCTCTTGCAGATAAATTATCTACTCTTTTGAAAGTTGGTAAGGTAATTAAAAAATCTGGTGGTCATGTTATACTACAAATATTAGCTAAAGACGAGGTATTAAAAATCTTTAATCTAATTAATGGTCGTATGCGTACACCTAAAATAGAAGCTTTACATAGAGGTATAGCCTGAATTAATGCAAAAGACAATAGTTTTATACCCATGTTAGGTTTAGACACCTCACCTCTGGATAGTAATAGTTGATTGGCAGGTTTTACAGATGCGGATGGAAATTTCTCTATTACTGTTTATGACCGTAAAAGGGATAGCAAAGTTATAAGAACTAACGTTCAAACTTTCTTCCGTATAGAGGTTAAACAAAACTACTCTAGAGATGTTTCCGCGGATCAAGGAGGGGCAAGTTATTTTAGTATCATGACTAAAATCGCGGAGTTCTTTACTGTTAATCTTTATACTAGAACTAGAACTAAAGAGGACAAGGTTTATTATGCTTTTATGGCTATAGCCCATAACTCAATAAGTCATGACATAGTTCGTAAATATTTTGACCGTTTCCCTTTATATTCCTCTAAACACCTAGCTTATAAGGATTGAGTTAGGGTTCAAATTCTTCATAGAGGAGTTTCTTTAAGTAAAGATAGTCTGAGTGATATAAAAGCAATAAAAAATCAATTCAATAATAAGCGTAAACTGTATGATTTTTCTCATTTGAAGTCTTTAACATTCTAATATTGCCGTGGGTAGTAGTAATATTACCCTTATTATATAACTGTTAGCGGGAAACTCCTAAAGTATTATTATAGGACATTGTGGAAACTAAACACTTTTATTGGATAGCATGATTATAATTAGCTGCTATTTTATAGCAGCTTTTGTTTTTTCTTAATGCAGGAATAATAAATAAGTATAATGTACACAGGCCATAAACATTAATGTAATAGATTTTGTCTAAGTCATATTAGATAAATGATAATGGACAATCCGCAGGAAATGAATATTAGTTCCAAACAACCTGCTCTAGTTATTTTATAGAATACGAAGGTTGTCAACTTCCTTTGGAGGTATACTAAGAATAAGATCCTCAGAGGCCACACGTTATACCCCAGTATCGTATAAAAGACTGCTGGGTGAAGATATGGTCCAAGTATAGTTGAAAGACTATACATAAATTGAATATCGATTATAGTACTGTTTTTTCATTGGCACCTTTTGTTAATGAAAATATTGTTACAATTATTGGTATATGTTTATTAATTGGTGCAATGGCTAAAAGTTCTCAAGTGGGTCTTCATGTATGATTGCCTATGGCAATGGAGGGTTGGTTTTACAGGGCTCTCCTTAAACTTCACCATATGCGGGAACATCCTGCTTTAATTCTTGGTCCACTCAAGAGATATTTCTTGCTAGGAAAAATTCAAGATCAGGGACAATCCGCAGGAAACTATTTTAGATGCCAGTTTACACTGGTAAATGATTCAGGTTCCTCAGAGACTATACGTGAGGAGTTTATATTAAAAGATAATGTTTTTAAATCTTGGTTAATAGGGTTTACTGAGGGAGATGGCTCATTTATTATTAATAAAGATGGTTATTTAGAATTTAAGATTACACAATCAAGTTTGGATGCTCAAGTTCTATTTTTTATAAAAAAAAACTTAGGTTTTGGTGTTGTAAGACTTCAAGATAAAAATAATCATACACATTGCTTTAGAGTCAGAGACAAAGAAGGTTTATTTAAAATAATATCCATATTTAACGGTAATATTTTTATGGAGACTAGAAAAACACAATTTAAGTTATTTATATCTGCGTATAACAAGATATATAAAACAAAAATCGTATATTTAGATAATAATAGTAAACCTGATTTATCTACTTCTTGACTTTGTGGATTTACTGACGCTGAAGGTTGCTTTACTTGTTCCATTATGGATAGATCTAAAGAGGGAGGTTTAGTTAGATTAAGATACATATTACATGCATGCTTATTTCGGACGAAGTACAGCCGGGTGCTCGGTGCTCGGTGCTTACTTCGTTGTGCATACTTCGTCAGCAAAAAAAAAANAGTTAGATTAAGATACATATTACATGCATGCTTATTTCGGACGAAGTACAGCCGGGTGCTCGGTGCTCGGTGCTTACTTCGTTGTGCATACTTCGTCAGCAAAAAAAAAAGGTAATTTTGAACAAATGAAATACTTAGGTGACTTATTGAATGGTAAAACACACTATCTTAAAAGTTATGGCGGTTATAATATGACAGTT